CGCTACTAGGGGCCCCTGGCATCGCTACTAGGGGCTCCTGGCATCGCCACTAGGAGCAAGGACGCTACCAGGACCCGGCTTCACCAGTCTTCCCAGCACCTCTCAGTGGAGGTGCCCTCTTCGCTCGCCGGATCTTCGGAGACGTTGAGCTTTACCTCACGGCCTTGCACGAAGGCGAGCGTTCAGATGCATCTGAAGTCGAAGTCGAAGGAACTCTGGCGCCACATCTTCCACCTGCTTTTTATAATTCGCATAGATTCTCAGGTGGGTCTTTTTGCACATTTTGTTCTTTAAATGAGCGTGGCTCAACGAATCCTTCAGATTCTTCCGGTCATGCCCTGGCAGATCTCCGGAACCTGGAGTCAATGGCGGCCTCAAGCCCTGAAGAGGCGTTTGAGGGAGCTGTTGGGCTTGGAGGTTCAGGCTTTTAGAACTCTAGATCTTCTTGTTGGGATGTGTTGTTTTGCTTGGCCTGAATCTACTTTGGTGATTTTTGGTGACATATTTGTAGAGACAGGTGATAAGAAGTTCCGGATGTATCCATGGCAGTTGTGAGCTGACTTGTTAACAATCGCAATTTCAGTTGATGCCGTTTTCAAGGGGCATACTACTAGGAGCAAGGACGCTACTAGGGGCTCCTGGCCATACTACTGGAGCAAGAAGCTACTAGGAGCAAGGTAGGCCGGTCCAGTGTCCACTTAAGACCATACGATCATGGCTTGCGGACGCTCGACTCGGCAGACAAAGAAGCCTGACAAGGTGATCACAAAGAGTTAGCTTTGTGCCCCATCCCGCCTTTGTATCCTTACATAAAAGGTGCCTATGCAGACTGTGCTTAAATGCGTATACATGTATAGTAATAAGTATTACATATCCTAAAGCGCGGGGGTTCGGACCGTAGCCAGGCTGTGAAGTCTTAACTTGATGGTAATTTTAAAGCTGTTTTCTGTAGGCCTTCTCAAGGTAAGTCTTGAACCCGCAAATGGTTCACTGGCCCAAGCGCCCCTCCAACATTATCATGACCGGCGTGTAGCAGTGGTGTAGCAGCGCGAAATCCCAAATGCTTCAGCCTGTCTAGCTGCGTTTAGAAATTGTAGATACGTTACGACATGTTCGCGAAATCTTTTGCAATGCTCACACACTGTCGTGCACTGTTGAGCATTGTATGTTTACCCTGGCTCCCCTAGTCGCATCACTTTTCATGGAGCCTGTTCCTTTGGCGCCGCCGTCACAAGCAAAAGGCTTGGGTTAAACGCGCGTCTCGTTAACATTTTTGGCTGTGACGCTACAGTTTGCAAGCGTGCCATGCCTGTTTTGAAGGTTTTAGGCTTGAAGTTTCGTGGTTATAGGCCTCGAGCATGCTAAGCAGCATGGTTTTAGGCTTTCAGTTTGACTTGCAGCTTGTAGATTTAGGAATTTGCAGCGTATCACATCGGACCGCCACGCTCACGACAAGTTATGTGGGCCATGCTGCGGGCCTGGAAGGCGAAGGGGGAATATGATCTTGCCGAGTGGTTGGACGCGCGTGGTTTGGGTCAGTAACTTGGTTCAGGCGTTTGCGGAGCTGAGCCACCCTGTGTCCATCAACGCTTTGCTCACCTTGGCGCGCGCTGGCAACCCGCGCTTATCGGGTGGACGATGAAAAGGACAGGGCTGTGGCTGTGGTGCTGCTGCAGGTCGCATCCTTGGGGTTCTACTTCGTGGGTGGCCACCTTCGTGGAGGTGACGCTGCTGGAGCCGCCCCAGCATCATGTCCAGCCTTCCCGGCCGTAGCGTTGGCGACCGGGCTTTGCGCCCCGCTGTGGTGAAAAGGATGCTGCTGATGCCTGTGCCATCAATTGTTACCGGTTACTGGGGCTTATTGCAATCGTAGCGCCGAAGCCATTTGGCCCAGCAACTTCATTTGAACGGTCCGGGCGCTGCCTCCTATCCTGCCTGTGTTTGCTCTGACGGTCGGGTGCCCCAACCCCAAGGCCTGGCAAAGGGCACAGCAGCCGCGTCTGCAGTGCACGGTTGCAGCGGGAGCTGGAAGCCAGCGCCCGAGCCCACCTTGGCGTCCGAACGCATTCGCCTCTAGCTTGCAACGCTGGCTCTCGCGATGGGGTTAGAGGCGCTCCACAGATTTGAGTGAATCAGATGGCGCCGACAAGACTTTGGGTTGGTCGTCCGGGACATCGACGCGCTCTTCGCTTGCGTCTTGGAGCTGGGGCTGCGCGCGCAAGAGACTCGATCGTTGGTTGCGAAAACGGGCGGACGTACGAGCAACTTGGTTGCCCTGTGCGCAAGGCCAGGGAGGGCCGTGCTGGGGCACTCCAAGCCGCTACTTGCAAAAACGTTAAAACGCGTTGAACAATTGGAAGCGATCACTTTTAATATTGCACGTAAAAATTGTGGGCCAGGAGGCAAGGGCCTGCGTTTCCAAAGAGGAAAGGTTGTAGCAAAAAGACCGGCCCGGCCAGGTTCTTTTGGAAAAAGCCTTTTAGCCCTAATAGATTACAGGTTTGGGTGGTCTTGGGGTGGGCTGAAGCCTCCAGCTACGACGCGCCGCCCTCCGACCCTTTGGGTGGAGGCGCGTTGCTTCTCACTGGAGGCCCTAAAGCCATAAAACCGCTTTGTCGCCAATGAGTAAGGAGTCCGATCTAGGTTCAGTTTGGTCTCGCAAATGAGACCCTTGCCATGTCAGGGTGCCCTGCTGGAGCCGGCCGTGACCGCTTTGCGCGCGAAGTTGGCCGAGGATCTTAGGGGTGCTGAGGGGCTGAAGGAGACGGAGGATGGAGGCAGGTGATGGGGCATATGGGGGATGAGTCATGGAGGTGTGGCAGGGGCCGTGTGGGGATTTCATCCAGTTTTGGGTGATTCATTAGTTTGCAGCACTCCATACAAAGCTTCCGGAGTGGAAGAGCAGCTGGACAACATGTAGGTGCATGCTTGCTAAGGTCTGTAGCGGACACGTGTTTCCAACGGTAATTCATTGGGTGCAAGATCCTCCATGTGGCCTTGGCAGGCGCCGAAACATTGGTCTTCTACCAGAGCTCAGACGGGCAACTCATTTTCTTGGATTCTGGCTTGCAATTGGGGGTCTGGACTATACAAGTCATCACATCAAAAAGAAGGAGAGAGAGCGAGAGCGAACGAGCGAGAGAGAGAGAGAGAGAGAGCGAGCGAGAGCGAGCAGGTGTGTGTGATTGTGTGTGTGTCCCAGTAGATGTCATGTAGACATACAAAAACATGGATGCAAGGAACATGTATATATATATACACATATATTTAAGATTCATATACATACACTTTACTATTCTAAAATTCTTAATTTGAGATTTAAAACGTCAAACACTTTAACTACATTAATGATACAAAAATTGAAGACGCAACTATGAAACATATGAAAAAATTATCTACGATACTTCTTTCATTTTGGAAAGGCTCAACCTAATGAGTGTCCCTCCCCGACGAGCCTTTGCACCCAGGAACCACATCTCATGAAACAGCTCCTGTCGAGCTACAGGCCTGCGGGCCTCACAAGCTGCCGGACAGAACCTTCCAACGAACTTTTTGATGGGCTTTTGAAGCTGATGATGTAGTGACCTCCTTTCACTCGAGCCAGATCAATGACTAATCCCTGACCTGCTCCGTGCATGTAACCCGCTGGCCGCAGCACCTGGGCACGCCTGCCGCCGTCGGTGCTGCTGAAGCCGCTGAAGTCCATGCGACAGGAGGCGTTGACAGATGAAATGAAGAAGAGGCAGATGGACCGGATGGATTTGCCGGGAGAATGGGTAACTGATGATGGATTTGAGGTGTCCTTTGGCTCATGTTTGTGTTTAGTGAAAAGACACGAAGATTCACAGACGTATTCGGAAACTGGGATCGGGAGTTGGACAGATAATGACAGATCATTTTGCTCTACTCTGAGAAACTCCATGAGAGTTTCTATGTTTGTTTGATCAGGGAAAAAAGGGGGTGATCATGATCAGCCTCTAGCCTTTAATGACCAACAGGCTGCCACTAGTGTTATCCCACTATCCGATCCACTGTGTGACTGAGGCGAACTCTTCCTGCAATTGTGAAACCAAACGTCCTAAGGTTTCACAGAGATCACCCAAAAATTGAGGTCTTCTTACTTGGGTGCTGTCTAGAGGACTTGTTCGACTGTATTACTGTAACAGCTGCTCGACTGTTGGCTCGAGTGACCTCAGAAGGTCTGACCCCCCACCGCTTCAACCCGGTCGAATCGGTCACCGTCGAGCCGCTAGACCCACCGGTGAGCCCAGGCACCGCTTCTTGCAGCACCTGCCCTCCGATGCCGCCGGGAACCTCATCGCCTTTGCCGACGGCGAGGTCCTCGCAGGCGGCCGGGATTTTGGTGTGTGGGCGGGGTGCTGCGTCGTCTTGAAGGCCGCCAGAGATGAATTCGGAGGAGGAAGTTGTTCTTTTGTTGCCTGTTGTTTGATGCTGTCAAAAGACCATGGTTCCTTGTTGCTGACTATCAAGTCCTTGGGCCGGCGACTCCCGTACTGTAATCCCATCCGACAGGCGATGAAGGCAAAAGCAACGGCAAGGGCAGGCTGGGCTCGAGCCATTCTCTTGCCGAAAAGTGTGATTTCATTGACACATGCAAATGTATGCAAATGTCAGGTGAACTTCAATGTGATGATATGAAATTATCAACTATGTGCAATGCATACGTTAGTCAGTCCTGCCCACCACAAGACTCCCAAAATGAGCAGAAAAACTGCATCCACTCAAAATGCGTTGGAACTTGGAACTGGTTTCGTCTATTTGTTCTGCCCAGGCTGACAACCCCCCCACGTCTCCCCCCAGGAAGGGCAAAGGCCGGCGTAAGCCCCGAGAGCCTCGCGACGGGGCTGGCCGTGAGCGTTTGGAGAGCCAAGAGAGCAAGGCAGGCATCTCTGCTCTTGCGTTCAGGTCATGTCTCGAAAAAGGTGTTGGGGTTTGTCAGCCTTTCAAATAGTGGACCCTTTGTCCATGTCCTCCTCAATAGCAAACCCTGACGAGGAATTTGTGCATTTTGTGATTTAGCTATCCCTTCCCATGCCAAGTCAATCCTGAGAGGGCTTTGCCGAAACCGATTGATCCCGAGTTCAATTCAATTCAAGGATCCTTCCCCGAGATTCATGTCACACAAGGTGGCACTTTGGATAACCTGCTTATAACATCCAAAAGAGCAGGGTTGACCTGGAAAATCAGTCTGTGCGAGACAAGGTTGTTGCACCACTCTCTGCTACTTCACCCAATTCGACTCTGGTTAGGTAGCACCGGTTGCCAGGCCAGTGCTTCCTTCAGCGGTGCAGACGGCCACACGGGAAGTGCCTGGCCTGAGTCATCGTCATCATTCCATGACCTGGTTCCATCCAACTTGGAGCAGATGGGTTCCACCAGGTTACGACAGATGGTTACAGCAGGGTGATGAGCTTTTGCAGTTGGCACTTCGGTTCCAGTGCTTTTTTTTGCCGAAAGGCGAGCCGCTGGCTTCGCCTTCGCTGGCGCCAGAGCCCGAACCAGCACAAGAGGTGGGTGGGAAACCTGGGGAATGAAGGCTAAAGTCTTGCATGCTGCATGCTGCAAAAGCAGGTCACCATGATGATAGGAAAACATTTTGCTTCTACCACAGCTTTGAGTTGGAAGACGACAGGGCTGCCTCATCCGATCTGCTTCGAGGACGCCTGGTCTGAGCCAGAGAAAGCAGAAGTTGCGGCACTTGATGGCCCAGAGCTTTTGAACGATGCAGACGCCTGACATGTGCGTGTGCAAAGTTGGAGAAAAGCCCTCTGCTTTGGAGAGAGCGGAGTGTTCGCCGGTAGAGTTGTGTCCCCAAAACAAAGCCGACGGATTTATGGCAGAGATTGCCAGGGACGTAGAAACTTTCTGAGAGCATTCTCACTTGGCCATGAATGAAGATGGGGAGTACTGTTACTTTCAGATTCCAGATGGCGATAAATCGTGTCATACAATGTGCTCCGAAACCTTCTTCGTATTTTTGGAGGGCTTATTGTTTAGCTGAGCTCATCAAACCAGCGTGCGGCTTGAGTGGCTTGATTGCTATCAGGGGATGGAAAGAAAGAACGCAAGAATAGATGAGATGATTTGGGGAGGTGTACAATCCTGCCAAATGGCTGAGGCAGCATGGCATACTGTGTTGCGGTGCAGAGTATAGATGATGATTGATTCCAGTTCCTGCATTCCCTGTCAAGAATAGAGTGATAGATAGGACCTGCCCAGACTGAGACTGCCGAAGTGCCAGGGGATCTACGAGCTGTCGTCCCCTGGAGGACTTTTGAAAGGCATCGAACTGCTGTGGAGTGATGTCTCCATTTTGTCGTCATGTCTCCACGGTCCGTGGCGCAATACAATTGCACGTCTCCGACTGTACATGTTACATTACATGCATGTTCAGATCTGCCCTGGGATGGATTTGGAAGTTGCAAGGCATTGACGTTCTCAGTGCAAAGCACATCTGGCACATCCCTTCTTTGCAGGGGTTTGGTATGGGAAGGTTTGGTGGTTTCTGTGGCTCTGTCACTTTCGTCAATCCTGTCCCTATCTGGTTCTTCCTCATCCGTTTCGCGATCGCTCGTAACTCGGGAAACCCGTAATTGTGAGTTTGCTTCCATTCAAAAATATCACCAGGATTACTGTAGTTGATGCTCCGTGCTCCCGTTCTGCTGTTGGCTGTGATCTTGCGTGGTACCTCGGCCTCAAGACGCAGAGAAAGCATGCGGGTCCCTATAAACACGTTTGCACCGATACAGACACACACCGACCGATACACCGATAACCAAGGGCTTAGGGTTTGGGGGTATCGACAGGCGTGTCGCCGTGATGGCGTAGAACGCAATGCGTCCAATGGAGTCCAGCACCAAACAGCGTAACGGCGTAATCACACTTAATTAAGGACGCAGTGTGCAAGCACGCTCCCACGGTCACTTGCCAAGGAGAGAGTCCAGTGGGTGTGGTGAAGTAATGTTTGTTTCAAGAAAAGGACAGCAAGCTGACACCACATGCGACAGAAAGACCCTGGTCGAGTGAGGGGTTTTCTGCTGGGCCTATGAGTGTGAGATTAAAGCCGGTCTGTCACTGTGACCTGTGTGGTTTGGCTGGTCGAAACAAGCTGTAGAGGCAGCTACTCCTTTGACGGCACCAGTTCCACCATTTCCAGCGAAGGTGAAGTGGGGAGCCTTGGAAGGTCATATGGATCAGTTGCGATGATCACTTCGCAGGTCTTGGAATATATATTGCCTGATGCATATTGCTCCCCTCTTGTTACTCTTGTTTGTACTCCTCTACTTCTAGCGCTTCAAGGCTGAAGAAACCTTCTAAGTCTGCGTTTTTCATAGTATCGAATTCCCGTGAAATCATTCGGTGTCAGAGTGGTTGAGATGCAGGAATCTCCTTGCTGACGGGCCTTTTTCATCAGTGTATGAGCTCAAGCACCGCAGAGGGGGAGAATCCAAACTGGCCATGCTGAAGTTCCTGAGCTTCCTCCCACTCTCTTGGGCGTCAGCTTCCCAGAGACATCTTTGAGGGGTCCTGGTTGTGGAAGATGTTCCTAACATGTTTGGGTGTAGGGACAAGGAGAATTGCTGTGCTTGAAGGGTCCTCTGTACCGCGCACAAATCCGGGAAGGGTTTCAATGAGGGCTCTGATGACCCAGATGACCAGCTAGGTTGGATTTTTGGGCACGGACTGAGGTGCAGCTATGTGGAGATTCCGTATGAATCAAATGGAAAGACCTCATATCTGATTCCAAGGAGAGCTTGTTACCAGTAGCTTCTTGTTCCTAGTAGTAGGGCCAAGAGCCCCTAATAGCGTCCTTGCTCCTAGTAGCGATGCCCCTAGCCCCTAGTAGCTTCTTGTCTACTAGTAGTAATGCCCTTAGCTACCAGCGATGCCCTTGTTCTGTTCGTAGCGTCCTTGCTCGCTTGGTCTTCACAGGACCATGGAGCTGTGGGACCTTTTTGGGAAGACCGAATATAGCATCGAAGCCTTCCCTCGTGGGCATGGAAGCAAGTTTGGCTGCTGAGCAAGACATAGCCGTAGCCCTTTCCGGCGACGATTGAGGTTTGGTTTTGTGAGTACGTTTTGTCAAGATCGACGATGGCCTTGTGCAAGGAACACTTACATTTGAAGCATCTGCTTCTGACAGGTTGGGTCGCGCCAATGAACATCTTCCACATTCCTCCAACGGACTTTGAACTTAAGTTTCCTTTTGAGGGCATGAACGAGGCAAGGGACCAGTGGCTGCTTCATTTCTGTCGGAATGTAGCCTCTCATCCTGTCACACCTCATCCACGTCTCACATGCGGAGGTTGGCTTGACTATCTCTGCGCTCTATTTTGAACAGTCTGTCTATGAGCAGTCACAGCCTGGAAAGATTTTTGGCTCAATCCAGCACCATTCACTGGGGACTGACACCTGGTGTAATTACGAGTCAAAAGCCAAGGATTGGTCCCAGCTTTGGGTGAGCACTGGTCAAGGAACTCAAACACTGAAGCCCATGTTTTGGCTGGTTGAATGCGTGTGGTTGTGTTGCCAGCGTGAAACTCCAGTTGTACAGTTAACCAGTTGCTCAGAAATGAACGCCTGTTGAACTTCAATTGAGAGTCGAGCCGAGGCCAGATTTGTATTCCTTGGCCGTCCTTCCTGCCATCCTGGCAAACTGTGCCTCAGCGGCATTCATCCCAAGCGGGCCGCCAAGAAGCACCAGGCCGCTTCAACTTTCCTGAGGAAAATTGGTTTGTTCATCACAGACGCTATGTGTCACAATGAAGGATTCCCAAAATATCCCAAAATCATGAGTTCAATGCATAGGGTGTCAGGAAGTTGATGAATGTACAGCCATATTCCTTCATTCCTTTCGTTCAATCCCTAGTCCTTGCTGGGCACAGCTGTTTGTTTGATCCAAGGCTCAAGTGTAGAGGATGCCATCCAGCTACTGGAATCAGTAAGTGTGGTGGCTCCGATCTTGCCTAACGTTCCTGCCGAGGAGCGGGAAAAACCGGCGTTTCGCATCGGCATCGGAGATCCGGGCTTCATTCATTGGACGAATTATATAAGGCTACACAGCGGCCACTGGTTGAGGCCAAAAGCAGCCATCAATCAACCTCACAACCGATGCGAACGAGAAACCAGGGACGTCCTTTCAGACTGAACTGGCACATGTCTGACTTGGCGTGTCAACGAGATAAAACGTATTCATGTCGTTCTCTTGGGCTAAATGGTGTCGTGGCCGTTTGATTCGTTTGAGAGGCCCATGGGCCCAGACCGAATCTCGTGGGCTTGGACCTCTCAACACACCCCAAAACGTTCATGGAATCCTTGACGGCCCCAGAATTCTTGGGTGGCAACCTTTGCGGGTGATTGGATTTGGTAAGGCCAAACCACTTGGATTGCTTTGACTTGGACGTGTATTGGAGTGTATTGGAATAGGGAGACCCACCAACCAATCGGTTTTGATCGATGTTTACCATGGGGGTGTCTATGGGGAGTTCGTTATTCAAATACACAGCACTGGATCCGCAAACTATATATTGCAGTAGACCTTTCTTTTTTTCTTTGTTTCCTATTAGCAACTGGCCTCCAACCTACTAGCGATGCCTGGTAGCGATGCCTCCAACCTACTCTCGATGGCCTCCAACCTAGTAGCAATGGCCTCCAACCTAATAGCAAACTATAGTAACTCAGCACAGAGCTTGAGAGGTGATGAAGACCGCAGTCTTCCACTGGGCGATCACTGATGCCTCGGGGCGCTCAGTGGTTGTGGAATACCTTCAGGCTGGTTGTGCGCCCCAAAACGAGCCCACCAAAAACCAGCGCCCAAACAGCATTCAGGCATACTCAGGGCGACCTACTACTTTTCTCAGTGACCAAAGGTTTCAAGGGCACCGAAATGGTATTGCGAAAAGACTGAGACTAGCACCGATTCTATACCTTGCAAGAGCATCTTGGTGGACCATGCATGAGATCTGCTCAGATGGGAGGATGTCTCAAGATCGTGTCGGGACCTGCATCTGTGGAATGTATGTTTTCAACCGGAGACAACCAGGTGGACTTTCGGGGGGCATGGAGTCATAGAGTTGTAGAATTCCTTGTGACACACACACACACACACAGTGCAGTGTCTTCAATTTCTTGTTGATGGACAAGATCCTGAATCCTGCGCCTCATGCAAACTCCCAAAGCGGAATCCCAGCTTCGGCCAGGGAAAGCGGAACATCGTGGAGAACCATCCGCGAGACCTGGCCGAGAGCGAGCACCGAGAGCGAGCACCGAGACGAGCACCGGACCGATCGCACGCGACGAGCCGCGAGCAGCGACGGGTGGGTCTAAGGAGTGATGACCAACGTGCCGTGGCAGTCGTTTGAGGCTTTGAGAGATTGGCAGCTGCATCTGCCACCTGTTCGCTGGCCTTGTGGTTGTATGTTGTAATGATGCACGGAGACCTTTCTTCAATTTGTGTCCCTAGCCAAGGATCCAGAGATTAAATGGCACTGGAGGAATCTGAACACCCGCGTGGCGTGCCAGCACATTGATCGGACCTAGATGTTTAGTCCTCTTGAGTAGTGTTCTTTTGAAAGATGAATTTGAGGATGTCCGATGGCACAGATTTATTTATCAACTTTTGTTTGCATGGGTCCCGAAGTTGTGGACCTGCAGGTGGACCTGAGCCCGAACTATCCGCTGCACAACGACTTCATGCAAGTGAAAGTGGATGATGACTTAGGAGTTTGTTTTATTTTGATTTATATATTTTGTTCTTTCTCCCAAGGGGTCTCATGGTCTTGCGACTTTTCTTGTTTTCGAGCGCGACGCTCAGCGGACGGGCACCGGATCATTTTGGAACCCAGAAACGGATCATTTTGGAACCCAGATCATTTTGGAACACAAAGGAAAAGAAAAACTCTCCGGGACTGCAGTCTGACACCAGTTTTGCGGATCATTTTGGAACACACATGTTTCGGTAGTGCTTCGAAGGCATCATTTGCTAGTGAAAATGAGCGTTTTTCGTACGAGACTTCCTCCAAAAAGTGAGCCGCGCAAGTCTCCAGAACGAGCGTTCCGTACGAGACTCCTCCAAAAGTGAGCCGCGCAAGTCTCCAGAACGAGCGTTTCGTACGAGACTTCCTCCAAAAGTGAGCCATTGGGCTTCTTTTGGTTTGCCTTAGGGCCTTGCTTCTTGAGGATATCTTGCTTTGCTGCTTTAGGATGTCTTTGGGCTTGACTCAGGGCTTCACTTCCTTAGGGTCTTTTTTGGTTTTGCTAAGGGCTTCACTCCTTTAGGGTTTCTTGTGGTTGGGGTCGGACTTAGGCCTTCACTTCTTTAGGGTCTCTTTTGGCTTTGCTTAGGGCTTCGCTCCTTTAAGGCTTCTTTTGCTTCTTTAGGATGTCTTTGGGCTGGACTTAGTCGTGAGGGACTTAGGGTTTCACTTCTCTAGGGTCTCTTTTGGTTTGGCTTAGGGCTCTGCAGCGTTAGGATGTCTTGGGGTTTCACTTAGGACTTCGCGTCTTTAGGGTCTCTTTGGGTTTGGCTTCGGGCTTCGCTCCTTTAGGATGTCTTGGGCTTCACTTAGGGCTTCACTTCTTTAGGGTCTCTGGTTGGTTTGGCTTA